AGCTGGTACGGATGGAGGAACSAAAACCCYGTGTGAGGGGGGCAGGTCCGACATCCGTACTTGCCCCCCCTCACGTGCCTCCATCACGAGGGAAAGAGGGAGGGACACACACACACACACACACACACACACACACACACACACACACACACACACTCATATACAATTTCAAAACTAACACACACACACATACACACACACAAAAAGATATATACACACACACATACACACAAAGATACCAACACACACACACATACACACATACACACATACATACACACAATAAAACATACAACTCCCATAGAAACAACTACCCACACACACAAGCAAGAATGGACCCGCAMCCCCAACCATTTACCACCTACCAAACACTACAACCCATGAATAAAAATACAACCCACAAACTCGCAAAAAACTGGCCTACATGACTCARCAAGAACGAACCCCCACCCCCAACCACTACCACCTGSCAAACACTACACCCCTATATTTAAAAATAATAATAAAAATACAACCCACATACARACAAGAAACTGGCCTACACGACTCATAAGTCRGATTGTCTACCCACCTAACCSAAAAACCACCTCCTACCCACAACAAAATWAATAGACTGACGCCCCACCCACCGGCCCCAGACTCACGCCCCTAAACAAAATAATAAATCAAACTAAGCCCCCACACACTCACTCTAGGTCCACCCTCCCAAACATATACAAAACAACCAACCCCCTCAYCCACCAATCACCAACAAAAAAACCCATCCCACTGAACATACCCAATTATAATTAAAACCCAAAAAAAACCTCCCCTACAATGAGTAATCCACTATTTAAACCCACAACCTACCTATCCTACCTGCACCCCATCGGTACCCTGCAAACTTCACCCGCCCCACCTATATTCAAAAGCAACCCTGAAAATGAACATGAATCAAAATAAAAAACCCGCCCAAACTTGTCAAAAAAAAATGTAAAAACAAAAGTACACGCCACGAATCCCCCRCCAAAATGACACTGCACACAACCCGTCCCTGCCCACGGAACATACACAACCGACAYASAGCACCACACTTAAAACAAGAAYATCATCGTCACCTGCSACAGAAGACGATACATGAGCGACAAAACAACGCGCCATATCCCACTCCCCCACCCTACTTACCATTTGTCCTCAACACCCTGCGCGCCATGTCCCACTCCCCCACCCTACTTACCATCTGTTCTCAACACCCTGTCACTGCCACGCCGCGCTAACGAACAACACACCTGCACCACCCTCTCCATACCCACCGCCTACCCCTGAGCACATACCCATATCTCCCAACCCTTGCCACAACAAACCCCCCCCCCGCACCCCCGATTCAGTCATCTCCCTATGGCGATATCACATACTCCTTCACCACCCCCACATACCTGCACTCGCTACAACCCCCTTCACCCATGGATCCCCAAACCCCCACCCGACTCCCTCTCCCTTCCCACACAAACTACGATATTACCAATGGGTACGCACG